AAGTAAGTACCCTCACACTTGCCCACTAAACCCACCAACCCATCGTTTCACAGTCTCACCTTCGGCATCGTATTTCCCATCGTTACGCTACGTCCGTCCCCCGGTCGGGAATGCGGTCTTCTTGTGTTTTTGGTGAATGCAAGTAGACTCGGCCGCTTCGCGTCAAACGTGCATATCATCTCACAGCTAACCACCGGCAGCTAAGTCTTATGTTTTCTGCGGGAATGTTCTTCTGCATAGGCCTCAATCTACCGTAAGCACCCGGTCAACTCCTGAGGACCTGCACAGTGACACTCCCCAGATTGGTACTTGCGTTCAACCTCAACGGCCAACGAATGGAAAAATATTACATCATGGGAACGGCCCTCATCAGTAGTGTATGCAACATCATGCCATACGCGTCTGGCCACCTTGGGTTAGTCCTTGGACCGCGGATGTATTGAATGCCCAATTGATTCCCAGAACCGCGCAGATGGGATACCGCCGCCAAGCAGTGCTGGTATCGCAGCACCGACCCGGCGTCCAGGCTCCGCTGGTTCATCGGAACGCAGACGGTCTGGCTCCTCCTCGCGTCATTTGGAGAAGTCGTCGCATTCCTGATCATTGTAGGGCATCTACTTGCATACGAAGTCTGTCTCTTCACATTATGCCTCCGCAGTATGCTGACACTGACAACAGAGGCTCGCGACGGGCCGTCGATTTTGTGCGGAAGCCAAATTAGACGAGACATACTCCTCCAACATCTCGCGGAACATGAGGATGAGAGATCCTGTCGTACGCAACATTATTGTCCGAATTGGTAAGCTACCATCCAGCTTTTCAGGCTCTGAAATTTACATAAGGACCACTGACAGGCCTCTACCCCTTCGCGTCATGTCTACTGAGCATATCTACGTCGATCTTGGATCTGCATGGACTGACCCACACCGCACCAACAGAACTCGTATGTTGATATCTGATTATAATTGACCGTGAAAAAGGCCTCATCTCATCATAGAATTTGAGATTAAGCCTCGCCGGTGCGTTGCTCTTGTGCGCTTGCCACCATATGTATTCAAGTCCTTAGATATCGCACTGTTTTCCGCGCGCGCCCTCATCTATGGCCTGCTCGCTGCCACGGATCCAGTGCGTATCAGTTGTTTCTGAGGCAAAATCCCGGCGCTGATTAACACATAGTCCTTCCTCCGTGCCATGCGTGAGCTACACCCTGGCTCGAAAAATTCGAGCCATTTGGATTCGAGTTCTCAAGGCGCGCCGCCTTGCTTTTCAACCGTCCTGGAGCTTCCCTTGACGACCGTAGAGAGCGGGAACGGGAAACATGACATGTTGGAATCTCTTGAACTAGGGCAGACGACGAAGGGGAACGGTGGTATCCCAGAACATGGCGGGGAAGAGGAACAGGCCATGCACAGCCCAGGTGCATTTGTAGTAAACAATATTGTTTGTCATATTTGAGCTATCAGTTGCTGACCGTGTAGTCGGCACCTTGACGGTTTTCCATATCTCAAGAAGGAAAGGATTAAGCTACCAGGTGTCGCGGGATCCCAGGATGTAGTCTAACATCCGAAGAATGAAATATGACCGAATGCGCCGGTACCACGTACAAGTCCTTTCGTAGAGCGAAAGTCTTGAGGGTGGGTTTTGAAGTACACACAGGTCTGGGACGTAATCCGACCAAATAGGACTCCCGAGAGCATCGTCCCGATCTTGATGGCACCTGTGAAAGAAATGAAACCACTTTAAAATGATTGCTGTCGGAAAAAAAAATGAGAGGCAGCAAACCAGGGAGGACGAGAAGCAGCGCTCTCATTCGACTCGGAACCAGGCCATCCATCTATCCGGAAATAGGCCTTTTTTTAGTTTGAGTTGCACCCGAGTTAAATTTAACTAAGCGCAGGGCAGTGAAACCTCAAGCCTGGTGGCGGATGGTCCGTAGCTGCAGCCCGTGAGTAGGATGCATTCGAATTAAATTCAAGCAGTGTTCCCGTTCGACTCGGGACTGAGGCATTGGTATGGGAAGAGGACGATTTCCTTCAGATTCAGAATCTTTTAACCGCTCAAAAGAATTCGACGATTCGGCATGACGCGCCTCGCAGTACGACGTCGACCTCCGACTCAGTGACACACCTCGCGTATGTCTTTGTTATCCCAACTATATAGACCGAGGGACAATTCCCTTCCCACGAATTTCATCCATTTAACCATGCTCAGCACCGTAGCAACCGAGCCTGGTAGCGGAAGATCCGCAGCTGTAGCCTTTGACTGCGTGCTTGAGCATAATTCAGCAAAACTCCCGTTCGACCCGGGACCAGGACATTCAATAGGAGCAAATCCCTTTTTGATTGTCCTCCGGGAGGAATGCATACTTGGAGTACTAGTATGGCAATACTTCTCACTTCGGCCAATGAAAGGCGCGGGCCCAAATGCAAGAACCCCGTCTAGCGGAATTAACTAACATTAAGCTAAACTAGGCATGTTTTAATTCTCACCACTATTTAAAGCCACGTAGAGCTCATTCAGCTAGCCCCAGCACAATACAAACCAAGCCTGGTGGCGGACGGTCCGCAGCTGTAATGTATGGCCAGATGCACTACCGCTCTTTCATGCAGCGCTCCCGTTCGACTCGGGACTGAGCCATACTGTGGGTCTTACATTTTTTGGCTCCTCGCCGACCTGGGCACCGACCCTTCCATGCCTCGGGCGCAGTCAATGAGGCGCTATGGAGCCCACGGCAGCCCGGAATTCAAAGTCCGGCCCCGAATGACAGAGAGATCTAGTTGCGGGTAGAAAAAAATCGGAATACGCCACTATATGACCCAGGCCCGAGTCGAACGGGCGCCTTCTGCATCGCAAATTCGCCCTTCAAGAAGTCCCAAGGAGAGCAGATACGGACCGTCCGCGACCGGGTCGTTACTTACCTGGAGGCTAACCGGAATAGGTGAGTGAGGAAATCCGAATTTTGCGCGCGAGATGGAAAAAAGCCTATCAACATCAACTTATGACCCAGGCCCGAGTCGAACGGGTGCCTTCTGCTGTCAGTTCTCTGGGTTTTTGCAAATGAAGGCAGATGCGGACCATCCGCTACTGGGTCTGTATTAGCCTTCAATTCGCCTGAATATGCGAGAGAGGAAATTCGAACGGGAAGGGAAATCCAAGGTTAAAAAATGAAACAAGCACAAACCCTTCCATGAAGTCGGATGATCGTACGGGCACCGTTGAACATTCAAAATCATCCCGGAATTTAGTAAGTTGCATCGAATCAAGCACACAGAGAGATCTACTTGCGGGTAGAAAAAAATCCGAATACGCTTCCATATGATGGGAACATTCAACGAGGACAGACGCGGACCGTCCGCCACTGGGCCGGTATTAGCCTTCAATTAGCCTGAATATACGAGAGAGGAAATTCGAACGGGAAGGGGAAATCCACCCAGAATAGATGAGGGACGAAATATAAATCTTACCAAGCAAGCCGAGAGAACACCAGCGTCGATATATGATACTCCGCGCCAGGAGCCTCCCAAACCAACTCTACTTGTCAAGGGTCTGGACCAACTATTTCGCGTAAAGAATGTTCAAGAAATACATGAAACGAAAGGCAGATACGGCTGGGGCGCCTGCGGATTCACAAGGACAGCGCACGCGCTGCAGTGCACACGTACACACGCCTACACCCCGAGATGCGTGGACGGCCCCCGATCTCGCGGGGCGGGGCATCACCCGTCCGTCTCATTCCCATTCTCATTCCCAGCCCGCATCCCGTCTCGCGCACATCCCGTTTCCACTCCCGTCTCGCGCACCGTCATCACAGTAGCCTTCACGCGTGAGCGCCGCGCCCCGCGGAAGACGCCATGCGCGGAAAAAAGGAAAAATAAAGGGAAACAGGAAGCGGCCGGGACGACCGGCTGAGTCGAAAACAGCACGAAAGAGGCGCGGGGAAGGGCCCTGTGCGCGGCCCCCCTCCGCTCCGCAGCCTCCGCAGCCTGTATCGCGCCGCGCTGCCCGAGGACGGGGGCTGGAGCCGCACGCGGGAAATATGCACGGAAAGGACCCGCGGGGAGGCCGTGCGCGTCGCGCCGAGATGAAATGAACGAAAGGAAGGAAGAGAAACGCGGCGAGGTGGCGAGCACGACGGCACGAGGAAGGGGCGAAGCCGCTATGTACACCGCAGGGAACAAAGAAGAATGGGTGTCCGCAAAGAGAGAAGGGGCGGTGCACCACACAGCACGCACCCCCGCCATCCATGCTTGCCTCGGCCCAGCGTGCCGTACCACGCCCCAGACAGAGAAGCGCGCCGCCCAGAAAGAACTAAGCGAAAGCGAAAGCGAAAGGAAGGGGCGGAAGGGGATGGGATGCATCCGCGCTGGGTGTTGGGCATCGTGTCTGTGCGCGGTATTCCGTAGGGAGACTGAGCGGGAGGCCACACCACACACGTCGTGCGCGGGGAGCCACGAGCAGGGCAGAATTGGGAACGATTTCGCCGGACCGTCGATTCCGGCGGGAGAGCCCTGCAACGGCGGGGGGGATCGCTGCTGCGCGTGTGGAGCCTGCGGATGCACATGAAAGGCAGGGGTTCAGCATCTTCCTTTCTTTCGTGCTGGTCAAAGCGTGCGTTGGAGGGAGTCGTATTTGGCGCGGTCAAGGGCATCAAGTTGGCGTTGTTTGGCCCGCGGCGGCTGCATGCGGCTTTTTCCGGCCAGTTTTCCTGGTGTAAAGTAATCGCCATGGATCTGGATTCTCTTGGTGAGCTGCGTGCAAGCCAAAAATAAAGTAAGATAAAATAAAAATGGGATAACGGGCGCGAATGAGCCAGGCCCGAGTGGGACTCGGACGGGCGACTTCTGCTGGAACGCGCACGCCCCAATGAAGGGCACGTGCGGGCCGTCCGCCACCGGGGCGGTATTGGCCTTGCCACGACGTTTGAATGCAAGGTCCGGTAAATTTCATTGAGGAAATGAGCTGACAGTAAGAGATAAAAATGTGAAGCTGCGCACATAATATGACCCAGGCCCGAGTCGAACGGGCGCCTTCTGCTATCGAAAGGGTAGGATACGTGAAATGGAGACAGACGCGGACCGTCCGCCACTGGGTCGTTATTAGCCTTCAATTCGCCTGAATATATGAGGGAGTAAATTCGAACGGAAGGCGAGAGAGGCATGCACCGACCCTTCGAGAACCCAGGCCCACGTCGTACTGGGCGCAGTTGAACATGAGCACATAGCTCAACGCCTTGTACCGAATGACACAGAGGGATCCAGCTGGGGTAGAAAAAAATGCGAATGCACAATGATATGACCGGGGCCCGAGTCGAACGGGCGCCTTCTGCTGTCAGTTCTCTGATTTTTTGCAAATGAAGCCAGATGCGCCACAGGGTCGTTACTTACTTGGAGGCTACCCGGAATAGGTGAGGGAGGAATTCGAATTTTGTGCGCGAGGTGGAAAAAACCTAGCATCACCGGGCGACCCAGGCCTAAGTCGAGCGGACGCCGTCTGCTGTCAGCTTATTACAGCACTGTAAATGGAGGCAGATGCAGACCGCCCGCCACTGGGTCGGTATTAGCCTTCAACTAACCTGAATATGCGAGAGAGGAAATTCGAACGGGATCGAAAAGAAAATTCCGGGCTAAGCAAGAAGCTAGCACAATCCTTCCATGACCCAGGAACACGTCGTACCGGGCACGGTTGAACATGAGCGGTTAGTTCAATGCCTTGCACTAAATCACAGAGTGATCTAGTTGCGGGTAGGAAAAATTCCGAATACGGCGCCGTATGACCCAGGCCCGAGTCGAACGGGCGCCTTCTGCTGTTAACCTTATGCATCTAGCTTGAGTGTTGATGAAGGGCAGATGCGGACCGTCCGCCACCGGGTCGGTATTAGCCTTGAATTCGCTTGAATATACGCGAGAGGAAATTCGAACGGGAAGGAAAATCCAAGGTTAAACAAGAAGTCAGCACAACCCTTCCATGACTCGGGCGCAGTCGGTGGGGCGCTATGGAACCTACGCCAGCCCGGAATTTAACGTCCGGCCCCGAATGAAGCGGGGATCTAATTGGGAGTAGGAAAAAATCAGAATACGCCGCCGCATGATCCAGGCCCGAGACGAACGGGCACCTCCAGCTTAACCACAGATTGTTGCATGTAAAGAATACAGACGCGGACCATCCGCCACTGGGTCGGTATTAGCCTTCAAGTAGCCTCAATATATCAGAGGGGAAATTCGAACGGGAAGGGAATCCAAGGTTAATAAGAAATCAGCACCGACCTTTCCATGAAGTCGGATGATCATACGGGCACCGTTGAACATTCAAAATCCTCCCGGAATGCAACAAGTTGCACTGAATCAAGCACACAGAGTGATCGAGTTGGGGTAGAAAGAAATCCGATTCGTTGAGTTCCGCCCCCCAAGTGCAGCAGTAGATTGTCCCGAGTTTCACGGATGCAGCCGCAGAAATCGAAAGGTGTTGATACCGTCCTAGATGAATGAAACAAATGTCATGATATTGTGTCACAGACATTAAAGCAACGGCGTGGGATTCATCCGGAGATAGGATGATCCTGGACGGTGTCTCATGCGATCTCCTGCTTATGAGAATCGACCCATGAGAGTACGTGAGGGCAACACAAAGACGACCAGTTGAAGGCCGTATCCACATCGTGCATTCATTTGACCACTGCCGAAAGAATTAGCTGCATAAATATAAATGTATCTGATAGGCCAACTGACCAGGGATTTCCCGGATCGACCAGCGTCCACATATTGTTTAGCATCCTGCACACAATACTGTTAAGTGATTTGAGATACAATTGAAGTTCTTACCATGAATTCTATGTCCTGTGGAGAAATCTGTGCATCGAATGGATAAAGGAATCAGGGCAACGTACAAGGCACATCCACATATACACAGTTGCGAATGGGAGTCTCGGTACTTCTCCAATTCCTTCGCAAGCACCAAGTCTAATTCAGTAACCATGAGCACAGAGTTGTTCTCAAAACAGAGCGTGCCCACCGTCGTGATAGACCGCCGCGTACATTCCTGCCGAGCTCACGGTGCCGAATATTTGCAGAATATTGGGATGTCTAAGACCGGTAACTGAGATTCGCAAGCTAAAATTAGGGAACAGACAGTTACCGAAGCCTTGTATACTGAGAAATTTCATGCCGCCAGTGCTATGGAGTCCAATTAGGACATGCTGCAACAAAGGAAATGTGCTATTGTAAACGGACCTCCTGGGAGTTGTCTCCCTCGTATACAAGTCATGCTCGAGTTGCAGCCGTGAATATGCGCAGAGTACATTCGGCGCACGCAACCACGGCCGGGTCGCCGGGCCGCTTGCCATGCGTATGGTAAGAACTCCGGGACCGAGACTGATTTGCTCAATGGACCGGGTCCTCCGCTAAACAGAGAGTCAAATGATGAACAGTGCGGAATGTAGACCCAAAACTCTCAGCGCCTAAGAAAATGAATACCAATGATCATTCCGTCGGCACAATTGAGAAGCAAAAATGAAGCCAGCCCATAGAAGACTACATGCAAGAGGGAACTGAAGATTGTATTCATTCGATCCTGGCCGGAGACCAGTAGCCGGATCACTAGAGCCAGGGAATCAAATGCAGAGAGGGGGCGGATTCGTTGCTCCACTGCTTTCGGGGAACCGACCAGAATCCAGAACCAGCCAGAATCGACAAGAGCGTTGAGCCTTGCGTTGAGCGGTCCGAGCGCCGAGTCACCGACCATGTGATCGTACTGCCACCCACTGTCTCATGTCTAACGACCGGTTTACCCAGTTACAATTTACTGGGAGGTAATCAAGGCCAGGACGTCCTTCATACACGCTCCTCAGACGGTTATTTATCAAAATAATTGTGTAAATGGATCGATCGAGGGGAAGGGATTGGGGAAGGGGGATAAAACCCCACTACTACAGGTAGCGGGAATAAACCGTTAAAAACTGGACCGCGGCGAGGTTCTTTCGGTAGTTGGGTGCATGTTTATCTTTCATTAATGTCAATGTAAGTAGCCTCCCTACCTCGGACAAATCCAATATTATATATCATGATTATCGGGCGTCCCACGCGCACACTCCCTCGGCCACATGTACACAATATGGACAAAAGAAATGACCGATGGTGTTTGGGTCAGAAATGACCCAAATCGCTCCCAATAAAATATCAGCATGAACCTTTGGCGATTTCATGAAGATATACACAGTTTAACCCATACAATTCCACCTTTTTTCTCTCAGAATAAAATATTTGGGGGTTTTCTAAAAAATCGAGTTTGTGTGATTCACGGTGTATACAAAAATGGTGTATATAGTCTGACAGTAATGAAAAAAATGAACCTTACTCATGGTTTGGTTAACCTGAATCCATAGCCTTTTGAGCTCACGACGGGGCATACAAGTTGTCCATTTTTAGTATTTTTGGGCCATTTTGCGTCAAAAGTGCTTAAAATGGCCAACTTGCATCAGCCATTCCGGGCCCCAAACACCTTCGATTAGGATGAACCAAAGGATGAGTAAGGTCTATCATTGGAGGGCTTTCAGACTGTGTAGGCCATTTTGGCATAGACGATGATTCCACAAACTCGATTTTTTAGAAAACACCCAAATATTTTATTCCGAGAGAATGAAAGACGCATGACATGGGTTTGACTGTATGAATCGTGATAAAATCGACAAAGGTTCATGCCTATATTTTATTTGGAGTGATTCGGGTCAGAAACGACCCCAAACACCCATCGGTCATTTCTTTTGTCCATATTGTGTACCCGCGGCATCCAGACCCATGCCCCTTTTTTTATTAAACGCCAAGCGATGCCTATCACCTATTTTGTTCACTAGACACCGGAAGAGGATGATGGTGTATGGTTCTGTCTCTGAGTGTACATGTAACTGGATATTTGCGCCTTCACGAGGTGGCACACCATTTTATACAATCCAATTGTTGCCACTCTCTTTTCCTTACCACTACCACCACCGACAATTTCTCCACACCACCGCGCCGTCGCGTCGAAAGTGCGTCAAACATGTCCAATTGACAGCGTCTCCGCGCTCCAATTGATGAATTTCACTGCAACCGGCACTGCCTTGGCGGATGTGCCCGAATTTAATCCAGCATTGGGCTCGGATGTTGGTCCAACATGGAGTTCGACTTCGGTATGGCTCCGTCGAACTCTGCGCTCTCTTCCGATGCTGCAGGAGCGCCTTCGACACCCTTTTCACGCCCTCGGAACTCGCTAATCTTTTGGGGTTAAATTCGAGCGCCTCGGCGGCCTCAAATGCTATTCGAGATTTCATAGACTCATTTGCGACACCCTTTCCAATGTCCTTTGATGATTCTTCTCGCATCAACTTCAGGAGCGGAATTTTCTTCTTTCGATCAAAGTTTGACATCATCTGCGGGAGTTTACAACGACGATTGGCCCGTCCTCCACTATATTTCGCATGGATCCCCAGAGCCCTCTACCTCTTTTGCTACTCAAACCTCGATATCCTCAGCGTGGATTTACAACGACCATTGGCCTGTCATGCCCTCGGTCCCACCCGAGTCGCCGGAGCCATCGGCTATCGTCGACGGTTCTGGAATTTCTTCCGTTGCCCCAAGGGCACGCGCTCGTCGACAGCCCGAGGTCGATGTGAGTCTTATCCTGCCGGAGACGTTGGCGCGTTCCCGAGCTCCTTCTTCACCTAAGCGAAACGCAGAGCAGATTGGTGCGGACCAGGACCCGAATTCGAAGGAAATGCGAAAGGTGTCTTGGCTCTCGCTGTTGACCATGCATGACGACTGATTATCTAATTCCAGTAATCGTCACGCGCGAATTGAACGAGTTGCACCCACACTTTCAATTGTAAATATTCTATCACTGAACTTTCATAGATGTTAGATGAATTATTTATGCATGGGAAAGTCTTTGAGGACGGGGTCGATACGATAGTGAGAAAGAAAGCCTCATTTGGACTACATACCGCAAGTTCCGGAAAATGTATCGTGTTCCACGCGAAGCCCGGTACATACTACAAACAGGCGAGGTACGAGCCTTATCGTTTGTAGCGTCTGTTTATAAGAGACTAGGTACATACAGAGATTTGATGTGTCAGCCTTGGGGGAACGTATCGTGCACTGCAGCGAATGTGTATGCCATCAATCCCGGGTTTGGTCGATCTCGCTTGAAAAGTTAACTTCAAATCTCTTGAGCATTATGTTCTTTGTTTGAGTCTAAGATGAAAGCAGTTCACTGGTTTTATGCGGAACAAGTTCAAGGAGTCAAGGCAGATCACATGTTTGATGAAGTCGATAATAGCAGCGACGGTACTGTATTTCTGGCGAGACGAGAAGAGAATACGAATATGGTAGCGAATAGGATGCAACCAATACTGAATACAATAAAATCAGATAATGGCTCACTATAAATGCACAGTCCGCAGATGGTCGACTAGGTGGTCGGTGACAATATGCTTTCCTCCAGCAACGCTTCCACTTCCTTACACCGCGGCTTGATCACACATCGAAGATCGTTCGGGTAGCTGGAACGAGTCGAGGGCCAAATCAAACCCTTATGCATGCAGACAATGACAACGCCTACTCACCTATCCACCCCGTCGCTCATCGAGGCTTCCGGAACAATAACGTTCCCGTGTTCATCCAGTGCATTCGAGATGTTGCACGTCGCCAAGATCGATACGATTGCGATCCAGAGGTTTCTCTCTACAAAGTGGACAGCGGGACATTTCCTGTCAGGTTCAGATGTAAGGGAGTATTTTTCGCGGCCACAAAAAAGGTCAAACGCTAACCTCCGCCCGAATCCAAACAGGCACGAAAAATGGGGCTCGCCGTTCCCCAAGGGCGGCAGGAGAAAGCGCTCTGGG